CCTCAACATCTACTTCAAATCACATCAAAACTAGGGTTTTTAATCCTTACCTTAAACCCTTCAACTTGAAGATCCAAGGCTCCTATCTTGTTCTCCTTGAAAAATTATACAAAACTCCTTTAAAACTTAGAGAAAGAAAGCTTGTTTCATTGAAGATTTGAGAGAAAATGGAAGAAAGGTTGAAGAAATGCTCTCTCCCTTGGCCTGAACGAATATCTTCTCATTTATAGGAAAATATTTCATTAATTTTCCAAATTTATGCTATTGGCCTGATTATTTTAATTGTATAACTCATAAGTCCTTAATTCTTCATATAAGGGCATTTTGGTCATTTCACACTAAACATAATCATTACTTAATTAATGCCATTAAATGCAATTAAGCCTACTCATCCTTGACTTTTTCAATGCTTATCCATAGGCAAAATGACTATTTTGCCCCTAATACCTTTCTATGGATAATTGATTCATACTGTTCCAAATGAATTGACTATTTTGCCCTTAGTTAGATTTTATGTTTTTTAACATAAAATTAACATGTAAAGGACTATTTTGAGTTAGGAACATACCTTTGACATCCTGGGTATTATAGAGACCCAAATTCTTCCAATCTTCTTCTCCTCTCCCTATTTCCTAAAATGTCGACCTCCTCTAAAAAATGGGCTAACTTTTCTTTAAAAAGTAGCCAAAAACCCTAGGACCAAATGCTATAAAAGGAAAACACATTTAAAATCACAGTTTTCACCGCGGCGAAGTAGAACAAAATTGTGACTTAAACATTCCAAGGCATACTTTGCTGTGGCAAAGTTCTGTCTTTGAGGCTTGAATTTAAGGAATTGCCCTCCGCTTGTCTTTTCACTCGAATCTTCACTCTTCTTGGTTTCTGGTTAGATCAAGCTTCAAAGGTGCTTCCAATTAGCCTCAGAACTTCTTTGATCTTCTCAACAACAATCAAAATTGGTCAATGAGCTCAAATTTGCACTGTTTCTCTCCAAAACAGGATTTAGGCTTGAAACATAAAATAGACCAAATTAAGTAACAATTCAGGCCAGAATCTGATGAGAAGTATTAAAAATCCTACTAAGTTCATAAGAAAAACAATATAATCATTAGGATTATCAAATACCCCCAACCTTAAGGCTTGCTCATCCTCGAGCAACAAAAACAAAATGCAACAAAGAAAATAACAAAAACATTAATGAAAAATGAAATGAAAACTAAACATAAAAAGAAATGCCCATATTGGATTGCAAATACGATTCTAAAAAATTGTTGGAAATTTATTACAAGAAAATGCTCAACACTCCAAAAAGTCATAAAATGAATTGACTATCTTTCTCTATTGGTCCCCTAAGTAGAAAATCCCCACTTCAATCCACCCTCTGACTTCTAAGATTCTTTTATGCGCAAAGGTGAAGTTTATCAAATGGTTGTAGACTCCATAAGCCTAAATATCTAACTACTCTCCACTAATGCAGGCTAGACATTGCTAAAGATCAAAAGGTCTTTAAAGCTTATAACGTTAGGCTAGGGTAAGTGGCTCCAAAGAAAGGATAGGACAAACAAAGCAAGAAAACTCGGTTTTCCTCATGCAAACACAAAGACCTACATTGATCCCATTTCTTTCTCAATCACCAACCAAAATTATCAACCCTTTTTACAACCCCCAAACTTATGCATTTTTTTTTTAACCCAAAAAAACGACAAGAACATTTACAGTACAATCTGAAATGGGGTTATTTGCCCCTCTTTGTTGCCCTTTCCCAACCCACAAACTTATGACTTTTTTTATCAAACACTTATTCACACACTTTTCAATGCTCTTTTGTGTATACATAAGGTCCAAAGCTTTCCTAAAAGGGTATGATAAAGTATTTAGATTAAAGATGTTGGAAATACTTGGTTAAACAATAAAAACAAGTCTACATAACAAAAGGCTCAAAAGGGGTGACAAAATGACAATTTAAAACTTGGGTTGGCTAAAAATGCTCAAACGTTCTAACAAAATGCCTAAATCATTTCCTCAGCAATGTCTAATCCTAGAATTTCGCCTCAAACAATTCTCAACTAGGTTCTAGAGTCTACAAACATTATCAAGACATCAACTAGCCACATAAAATGTTTCTAAGCATACCAAAAAATGACAATGGTGGTTGAACCACTCAATGAACCTCTAGCTAAATCAAGTCAACCATCATTAACTTGAAGCAATGCTTTGCATTTTCCATAAATAAAAATCCAACAATCAACAAAGTCATCATCGACTCATGCTAATCAATTGGGCAAAACACAAATAAAAACTACACACAAAAACTTAAAACAGAAACACACAAAAGCTAAATAAAAAAAATAAAAAAATACACAAAACTCACACAAAACAAAAATTTTCAAGTTTTTCTCTTCCCCCAAACTTAAAATTGCATTGTCCTCAATGTCAAGCAATAATTACCCAAGGAATAGAAAAAAAAAACATGAAAAGATATGAGATACTCCCCTGATTAATTTGTGAATATTGAAATGGGCGCAAAACCTAGACTTCGCGTCATCGTTTTCCTCATCAGCAGTATCTGTCAAAACACATAAAAACTCAAGGGTCCAAAATGTGTTAGAAAATCTCATAGAATATGGAAAAATTACATCTCAATCTCAACCCTTAACAAACTAAACCTAAAACCTAAAAATATAAAACATAAAACCAGGAAATAAAATGAGTTCCACTGTACAAAAACAAAGCAAAATAAAAAATAAACAAAATAAATGTGTTCTAGGCTTCATTCTTCTTCATCCTCTTCATCATCTTCGTCATCTTCATCCATGGCATCATTAGGGATTTGATCTTCATTGTCTAGCCAATCTTGCCATTGGAAATTGGACACATCTATTCCCAGACTGGTGTAACACAAACGCTGCATCTCATATAACATTCATAATTGATCTCCCACCCAATCTTGGCTTTTCTCTATTATGTTCACGCTAGCCTAATGTTGTTGCATTTGCTCTTATGTGGTAGTAGGGGTTGCAGTGGATGTCGATTTTCTGGAGCTTGAGCTTGCTCCCTTTTCAGTCTTCTTTTTGCTTTGGAGCTTGTCCAAAAATTTGTTGTTCAAAGGTGGAGCTGGATGAAGTTTTATTTCATCATCAGTACTCTCAACCCCTGCTTTTTTGCACAAAGCTGTGATTAGATGGGGAAATGGTAGCTTGATCTAGTAGGTCTCGCTGCATGCCAAATGTTTTTCATTATGATCTGCCCCACATTCATCTTCTTTTTAGTGTAAATGGCATAGACCAAGACTGCATGTGCAACGTCAACAGTGCTGTAGTGAGTTGTAGGGATCAATCTGGCGCATACAAAGTATTGCCAACTTCTTGTTTCACTTAGCAAGGAGCTTCCAGGAATTTTCCTTATTCCCTTTTTTGTGAGCTGCCAAGAAGTTCCTGGTTTGGCTATCTTTTAGAGAATTTCATCATAATCCGGATTTTGTAACATCTCCCTATATTCATCATGTGTCACCGCTCTTAAACCATAAAACTCATTAATAATAGTGGCAATGCAAGGAATTTCAACTCCTCTAACATAAACTTTTCCATTTTTGCTGTCAGGAAAGTTGGCATAAAACTCCTGAACAATGGGATCTACGGCTAAATGCTCCGGTTCATTTGTGAAATCCCCCCAACCTAAGCCTACAAGCCAATCATGTATGTCTATGACATCTAGACCTCTCTCATGTATAAACCCTTTATCCCTTTCAACTGCAACTTCATATCTTTCCCTTGCCTTCGTAGTGGCAAATGTGTTATCGACAGCTTTTCCTTTGGTAGGTCTTTTCAAAGGCATGTTTCTCTTTCAACACACTTCTATTGCAAACTCAACCACAATGCAAATCAACAATTCAAAAATACCCCAACACACAACTCCAATCCACAAACTACAATTCCAATTCACCAAAAACACAACAACACAACCACACAATCAACAATTTTGACTTCAAAACAAATAAATCACAGATTTCAACTACCCAAGACTACCAAACTTCACAATTTCGCCCTCAACAACTTCAAACACACACACCAAACTACCTCCACCTCAGATCAATTCAAATCCACAACAATTACACTCCAAATTGTAGTCAACTCAACACAAATTGCACAATTATTCTCCAAAACACAAATAATCCCAACACTCAAAAGATTCAATCAATTTCCCAAAAATCAAGCATCAATAATTGAAATCAATCCAATTCAAAGCTCAAGAACACGAAATCTTACCAAACCCACAAGGATTGAGCTTTCAATTTCACTAATTGGAGCCCAAATCACCAGATCCCCAATTCTTGAAAAACTTAGGGTTTTCCAAAAATCTCAATATTTGCTTCAAAATCCTTGCTAAAGTGAGGCGAAACGGTGTTATTGGGAGTACTGGAGATGAGATTTGCACGAAAAATGCTTGGGAAAGGTTGAAAGTTTCAGAGAAAAAAAATTTGTTCTTGTAGGCTACGGTTTGTGTTTTGTGAAAAATAAAGAGAAGAAAGTCGGTTTATATAGAAACAGTGTTTTGTCGCAGCAAAATTCAGAAAAAATTGAATTCTTGCCTAGTCATGTGCGTCACTGTGACGAAGTAAATTTCTCGCCGCGACGATGCTGAAAAGAAGAATGCACAATCATTCCATTGCATACCATGCTGCGGTGAAGTCTTGGAAAAATCCAACCTCTCAGATTTGATGTTTTCGCCGCGACGAAGTTCTGGAAAAATTAGTCACTTAACTTTTTAAGGGATAACTTGCCGAGGCAAAGAAAAATCTTCATAGAGGCAAAAGATTGGAATTTTGCATTTTCTTCCGAACTTCACCTGAAACAAAAAATTAACATACATTAGCTAATTCTAAACTAACTCAATCAAAAAGAAGAACTCAGAAACATAAAATAACACAAAATTTAAAGTGCTTGGGTTGCCTCCCAAGAAGTGCTTGTTTATCGTTGAAAGCTCAACTTTCTCTTCGGATCTCATTCCAAAATGTCAAGCTTGATGGGCAATATCCTGCAACTTAATGGTCCATCAATGTATGGCTTCAATCTCTGCCCATTGACTTTAAAAGTGCCTTTTTGCTCATGAAAAATCTCAACTACTCCATATGGATGAACTTGAGTAACTATGAAGGGTTTGGACCATCTTGACTTAAGTTTTCCAGGGAAGAGTCTAAGTCTTGAGTTGTAGAGCAAAATTTTGTGACCCACTTCAAAGTTCTTCTTCACTATATGCTTGTCATGCCACATTTTGGTTTTCTCCTTATAAATTCTTGCATTTTCATATGCTTGGTGGTGAAACTCATCCATTTCATTGAGTTGAAGCATCCTTTCTTCTCTGGTGGCTTGTAAATCCATATTCAACATCTTGACTGCCCAAAAAGCCCTATGCTCCAATTCCACAAGCAAGTGGCACGCTTTACCAAACACAAGGCAATATGGGGACATTCAAATTATTGTTTTAAATGTCGTTCGGTATGCCCATAATGCATCATCTAACTTTCGTGACCAATCGTTCCTCGATGCATTTACCGTCTTCTCTAGAATTTTCTTCAATTCCCTGTTTGACAATTCAACTTGTCCACTCGTTTGAGGATGGTAAGGTGTAGCCACTCGCCTATATTTTACTAATAGAGCTTCAAACAGCTGGTTGCAAAAGTGCATCCCTCTATTGCTTATAATAGCCCGTGGTACTCCAATCGAGAAAAAATATTCTTTCTAATAAAGCTTACCACTACTTTAGCATTATTGGAAGGTAATGCAACTGCTTCTACCCACTTTGACACATAGTCCACCACAACCAAAGTGTAGGTGTTCCTGAATGAATTAGGGAAGGGTCCCATGAAGTCAATCCCCCAAAGATCAAAAAGTTCCACAACCAAAATATTGTTCAAGGGCATTTCATTCCTCCTTGAGATATTCCCACTCCTTTGACATTGGTCACACTCTTGAGCGAATCTAAAGGCATCCTTGAATAGATGTGGCCAATAAAATCTAGATTTATGCATTTTAGCTGCAGTTCTTGTCCCTCGAAAGTGACCACCAACATCCTTTTCATGACAATGCTGCAATATGTTTTCCAATTCTTCTTCTGGCACACAACGTGTATCATCTAATCCACACAATGCTTATATAGAAAAGGTTCCTCCAAAAATAGAACTTTAAATCAGAAAAGAACTTCTTCTTTTGTTGGAAAGTCATATCCATCGGGAGCACTAGAGATGACAAATAGTTTGCAATATTAGCATACCATGGTGCTTCTTCAATTTTCATCAATTGTTCATCTAGAAATGTGTCTTGAATTTGGACCTCTTTCTAATCCTCTTTTTCCAGTTGCTTAAGTCTTAACAAGTGATCTGCCACCACATTCTCCGACCATTTCTTATCCCAGATTTCCAAATCAAATTCTTGAAGGAGTAGAATCCATCGGATAAGTCTCAGTTTTGCTTTTTGCTTTACCAGAAGATGCTTGAGTGCTGAATGATCCATGTAGACAATGACCTTGGCATCTAGCAAATAAGAGCGAAATTTGTTAAATGCATAAACAACTACCAAAAGCTCTTTTTTAGTGGTAGTGTAATTCAATTGTGCATCAGTTAATGTTCTATCGGCATACTGTATCACATGCAAAATTTTATTCTTTCTTTGACCTAAGACTACACTTATCGCATAATCACTAGCATCACACATTAATTCAAATGGAAGTTCCCAATTGGGAACCATAATAATAGGTGCAGATACTAATAATTGCTTAAGAGTTCGAAAGGCATGCATGCAATCATCATTAAAATCAAAAGGTGCATCTTTAAGTAACAAAGTGCAAAGAGAAATCTTAGAGAAATCCTTGATGAATCTTTTATAGCACCCCGGATGTCCCAAGAAACTCTGGATAGATTTGACATTTGTTGTAGGTGGCAACTTTTCAATCACTTTAGTTTTGGCTCGATCCACTTCAATTCCCTCCCTTGAAATATGATCTTAAAGAACTATGCCGTCTTGAACCATAAAGTGACACTTCTCCTAGTTCAACACTAGGTTAGTGTCTTGACATTGTTGCAAAACAAGAGAAAGGTTAGAAAGACAATTATAAAAAAAGAGCCAAAAATAGAGAAATCGTCCATGAACACTGGTGTGCTGTCGCAGGCAACCAAAATTTAAACCTAAAAACACATGTAGTAGTGTGAGTAAGGATCGTTCCCACGGAGAGTGTCTAGCCGAGTTTTATGTTATGTGAACAAGGCTGGGCGTGGGCGGGGCGGGCGGGGGGGGGGGGGGGGGGGGGGGGTGGGTGGACAATTTCAGGAAAAACAATTCAAATTATCGAAATCAATCAAATAATAAACCTTGGTCTAAGTCAACAGCACCATTGGAATTTTACAACTGATCATCGATGCAAGTATATATCAATTGTTTTTGAGTATTCACGTTGGAAACTATTTTTCTATCTCTCCTTAGTTACAGTTAATTAGGAAACAAGCAATCAATTAATCTTACTATTAAACAACCCAAGACAAGCGCTAAAGGTATCTAGTGGCAGCCTTAAGAACTAGAGAGATCGATGAGCTGAACAACACAAGCACAAGCGGTTGTATTTAATTCAGTCAAGTGTTCTTCTTAAGATTTATAATTCCTGATGCAGCAAATTCTTAACTCTTAGTTACTCACAAATTAGGGGATCAAACAATTACGGATTTGATATCTAATTAGCAATAGATTGCAACAAATAATAAACTAGTAGGCCTCCTAGTAAATAAATGAAACAATCATGAAAATAGGCATAGAAGAACATCCAATACTCAAAACTATATTGAACACCTAAAAAAAAAAAAAAAAAAAAAAAAAAAAAAAAAAAAAAAAAAAAAAAAAACAGATTAGATCTCATAGTTTTATTGATTTCGAGGCCTCTGTTTCCTTCGACAAAGTTATGGAAATTTAGCCGCTCATGGCTATCATGAAAAACTCAAAAGAAGTTCAAGAAGAGGAGAAGGAGAGGCATGTGTGTTTAATTCTGTCTGATCTCTCTCCCCCCTTTAAAATATCCAATTCAAATCTTTTTAATCTACTAAATCTCCTAAAAATATTCTAATATCCTAAAATAACATTTATCCTAATCTGATTAATTGAAAATAAAATAAAGTCCTAATATAAAATAGGAAAGTGGTGTTTTCAACTGTAACTTGCGTGCAATAGGTCTTCAAAACTTCCAATAATAAACTGCCTATTTGACTTGCATGACAAGGCAGAATGTTCCAAAACGTCAGCAATGCAGGTGCATCAACTTCAAGCCCGATTACAACCTTGATGCAGCGAGTATATCTCCAAACTTAAAACATGAAAGTTGTATACCTCTTTGTTTTAGATCCATATCATTTTGAATCATCTCAATCGGAGCTAGGATGAGAGAGTTATGCCTAGATTACGAAGTGATGTTGAAACTATCCGAATTCACCTAATTAGTTTCGTTTTGCATTTAACGCCTCCATTTGCATCCTAAATCAAAATAGAATAATAATGAGTACATTTAGGCAAAAAATAAGTATAAAATACTAGACATTAAGGGGGGTAAATATGACATTTTTCATTCTCATCAAACACTTCAAGAAACTGTTCCACCATATCACTAAATATGGACATCATGCATCACTGAAAGGTGGCCGGTGCATTACACAACCCAAAGGGCATCCTCTTATATGCAAATGTACCATATGGACAAGTAAACATAGTCTTTTCTTGGTTTTCAAATGCAATGGGAATCTGGTTATACCTTGAGTAGCCATCTAGGAAACAGTAATAGGCGTGTCCCGCTAGTCTTTCCAACATCTGATCAATGAATGGTAGCGGAAAATGATCTTTCCCTGTTGCTTCATTCAGTTTCCTATAATCAATACACACCTCCAGCCCATGACTATCCTAGTTGGGATCAATTCATTGCTTTCGTTTTTCATCACTGTGATGCTGCATTTCTTTGGAACCACTTGTACAAGACTCTCCCAAGGACTATCTAAAATGGGATAGATGATTCCCACGTCTAAGAGCTTTACCACCTCTTTCCTTACCACTTCCTTCATAGAAGGGTTCAAACGTCGTTGTGGTTGCACTCTTGGCTTGATATCATCTTCCATAAGGATCTTGTGAATACAAAGAGATGGAGAAATGCCCTTTATATCTGAAATGGTCCATCCAATTGCAGACTTGTGCTCTCTCAACACCCGTATCAATTTTTGTTCCTCCAATTTACTTAAGTTTGCATTGATGATCATTGGAAAAGAATCAGATTCACCAAGATACACATACTTGAGATAAGATGGTAAGGGCTTCAATTCAAGCTTGGGAGGTTCTTCTAACTTTGCTTTGCCCTTCTCCTTACTCATGTCCAAGTCTTCAAATTCTGGATCTTGGATGGTGTTTATCAGTTGAAGTGCTTCCAAATACCTAGCACACTCATTCTTCTTCGACCTATCTTCCTTGGTAGTTTTGGATTGGGAAATGCATGCTTCAAGAGGTAGTTGAGGATTGATCTCTTCAAATGTGTCTTTTACTACTCTATCAACCACATCAACCCCGAAACATGACTTTATTTCCAATGGAAATTTCATGGCCTTGAACACATTAAAAGTTACCATTTCATCTTGGACCCTTAAAATCAATTTTCCTTCTTGTACAACAATTAAAGTTCTTCTTGTAGCAAGGAATGGTCTTCCCAAAATGAGCGGTATCTCTTTGTCTTCCTCCATATCCAATACAACAAAGTCTGTAGGAAAAATGAATTTATCCACTATGACTAGCACATCTTCAATAATACCCCGTAGGTGCTTGATCGATTGACCTGCAAGCTGAAGAGAAACCATTGTAGACTTCACTTCACCAATCCCTAATTTCTTGAAAACAGAAAAAAGACATTAGATTTATGCTTGCTATAACACCTACATCAAGGTACGTAATTTTATTTATGCCCTAATACCCTTAGTTGGATTTCTTTGATGTTACCTTAGACAAATGTGAAGAAAATTCCTTAAAACTTCATTAGGGGTAAAATGGTCTTTTCACTCCTAATTAGATGAAAAAGTGGGGAGTGAAAAGAAGCAAAATAATGTGAAGAAGATAATAGAAATGAGGGTATTTTGGTAATTGACTAAAGGATATAGATGGGATTTCATAGAAAGTGCAAGGGCTAAATGGGAATGCATGGATATATTATTAGATATAAAGTTTCATTAGAAGAAACCCTAACCATATTTCAGCCCTTGTACACGCCACCCTCACCCCTTTTTCTCTCAAATTTCTTCACCAAATTCCAAAGGGAAATCATAGGACTGGCTTGGATTTTTTTGTAGATTTTCAATCCTTAAGCATCCAAAGGTCCAAGAGGAAGAGACTTTTAGCAAAAAGGGGGTTATATCACACATTCAAGATAAGTAAACCCAATTTTAGCCTTGATTTGAGCAAGA